TTTTATGAAATGTCTCTTTCTCTTTTTTTTTTTTTTTTTAACAAAAGGGGAATAAAATAAATATTCTGTTTGTTGTAATTCAAATAAGTTGAACATTTTTTAGTGATTTACATTTTTTTGAGGATTTAATTGATTTTTAATTAAGTTTTATACACTCAGACAATCAAGTTATTTTTTAAGTAACAAATTTGTAAACTAAAACTTGCCTCAAAACAACATGCCGCCAAAATAAAAGTTTAGAAACGTTTCTTACCTTGAACTGAAAGGTCTTACTCGAACTGCAACAGTGACCGCACTGTTCTCCATCTTCAGCTCTTGGGGTTGTAGAGCACTCATTCTGCTCACAGCTTCAAGAGGAACATGTCCTTCAGCAGGAGCAGCTCTAGAAACACCTGTTCCTCCATGAGCTGTGGAGCTCATTAGGGCTGTGGGTCTCCTCACCTGTGCTGAACGTGAGGCTGGTGTCATGTGCCTATTTAAACCACCAATCTGAACCTTCTCACCTGTTGCTCCACATGTTGATTTTGCAGTTTCAGTGCTCATCTGCGGTGGCTTCTGTCTTCCAGCGGTTGTGTGTTTGGAAGATGCGGGTCTAGATGCATCTTTACCAGCCAGCCTCTCAAAGACGTCTCTCTTGACGCTTAATTTCTCAAACTGGGTTCTTCTTGTAGGTGTCGAAACGGGTTTACCCTCATCATGGGTGGCACTGACCTTCTCAGAACTTGTTTTCTGAGCACTCCAGGTTTTCCCAGGTGTTTTGATGGTTTTGTGGGTCTCTTTTGCTGAAGATGGTGCTGGATTGGGTTCGGTCAGGACTTTGGTTCTGGTGCGGCGCTGAAGGGTCAGGCGTTTCTCTCCTCTTTGGTTCTCCTGTGTGGTTTCTTCGTGGTGGTTTGCAGTGGTTCTGCTGGGCTTTCTCTGAAGAGTGAGTCTGGCACCAGAGGATGGTGTTTTAAATGCGTTTTCTCCACATTTTGTGAGTGCTGAGACCACATAAGTCCTGTTTATTTCTTTGGTTTTATTGAAAGATGATGTGGTCTCTATCTCTTTTGATCCATCCATAATTGTGTCCAAAAACAAGACTTTTGACTATAAAATTGTTTTAAGATTGTCCCACATGTACTTCAGTCCACAAATGTAGTTGTTGTGTATAAGTACACCGAGGTGAATAATCTGTCAAATGACTTAAAAATACATCTTTACGTAAACCCATAACTAAAACTGACCTGCGAGTGTTGATATCCTGTTTTGTAAACTATTTAAAGTTCTTTTGTTTATGGTTTTTAAAAAACGCAGTCCTTTCTTCGTCCAGTTTACTACTAACGTTCCGACGGTAAGAACGTATCAGACTGGACGCCGCCTCAAAGCGTCAATAAAAACAACACCTCACTGTCTGCGGACCGCCATACTGCCGCTCTAATTCAAAACGAGTAGGCGTGCTGTGATTGGTCAGCTCAGTTTGACGCGCAGTCACGCCCACCTACCAACAGATGGCAGTGTCTATTTACGTATTTACTGTACATGAGGAAAATCAAGATATTTCAGTCACAATGAAGAACATTTTCACACCAAAATTTTCGTTTGTGAAATGTGTAATATGAAAAATTATATTATTTTGTGTATTATTTATTAAATAATTTATTATATTTTAAATAATCAAGTTATAAATAAAAATGTTATATATTTCTTATATATAATGTTATATGTGTATATATATATATATATATATATATATCATTACACAACTGTATTTTTTATTCAATTTAATTTAAATATTTTACTGTAGAAAATGATGAAACTAACAGAGAAAAAACTTTCAAGGCGATTCACACACACACATATATACAGTATATATATATATATATATATGTGTGTGTGTGTGTGTGTGTTATATTTGACTTTCTCTGCAAATTTTTATTTTATTATCTCAAACATTTTACAATACTTGACAGTAAAAGTACATGTATTGGCATATAAAATAACATAAATGTATTAGGTACAGTAAGCAATTAACAGGTTTTTATCCTAGTATTTTTATTTACTTTTCCATTAACATTACTAACATTTCTACCATGTGGGTTGACATTATTATTGTGTGTGTAATTATATTGGAGACAATCAGAAGGGACGTTTTTTTCCATTCACTTGTAGCATTTATAGAAAATACAAATTACAAAAGCAGCAACAAAACATTTAGCAATACATATATTTGCTTGTTATTTCTTGGCAGATCTTTTGTCATGCTTCCTGATGATGTCGATGAGGTTGCTCTTGGATACAAGGACGTCTTCTCCACGGCTGCTCCTCTGTGTGGCTCTCCTCTGCTGTTCGTGCAGATGTGGGGAGTTGAGGAGCTGTGGCGGCAGGATGGAGCCCGTGGGTTTCACTCTGTTCACAATGTCCAGAAACAGCCACTTGTTGTTGTTATTCATGAAGGTGATGGCGGTGCCTCTGTGGCCCAGTCGACCTGCTCGACCAATCTGAAAGGTTCAAACATAGTGTGTCATCATTAAAGAAATGAGATGCTTCAATGTGTACGTTTATTTATGAAATACGCCATACCTGATGAACATATTCATCCATGTTAGCTGGCATGTCAAAGTTCACTACAAGCTTAACATTGACCAGGTCCAGTCCTCTACCGAGAATCCCAGTGCTGACCACCACTTCAAACTGGCCCTCAAGTAGACCCTAAAAACACCAACAATATTATGTTTATTTATTTGTTTATTTAATATGTATACATTTATACCAACTAATATAATATAATTTTTTAAAGAGTTTTTTCATTACCTTTACAATTTTGTTGCGTTCCCACTGCATCTTGTCTGAGTGAATAGCGACTGTGTTTAATCCCATGACCTTTTGCACAGCTTCACACAGCAAATCGGCCCCAAGTTTGCAGTCCACAAACACAACTACCGGTGGCTGGTACAGCTTTCTGTCCTGAGCACACAAACATTCATGATGTAGATAATATTGTAATGAAAACAAATCCAAAAATATAATATAAATGAAGTATAAATGAAACAATGTAAAAAAAAAAAAAAAATTCATTTCTTTTGTGTTGAATATATTTATTTATTTTTAATTTACAGAAAAAATAGCAGTTGTTATTCCAATTTTGATGGACAATAATTTTTATAATTAATTATAATATTAATAAATAATTTATTCATTCATATATATTTATCAATTATTTCATAATTCTGATGGGAAATTATTCTAAAATATTAAATATTTTTTATTTATTCAATATTTATGAATTCATATTTATCAATTATGTTAATATCATATTTTGATGGACATTATTTAATGTACTATTAAATAATAATATAAAGAATTAATTTTCCTATTTTATTCTTTTTTATTCATATGTATGACTTCATATAAATTATGTTATTTCATATTAATGGGCAATTGTTCTAAATTATTAAACAGAATATTAATGAAGAATTATTCTAAATTATTAAATATAATATTAATAAAGAATTGCATTTGTTTATTTAATCATTCATTTTGTTTCATATTTATGAATTCATATTTATTGGTTATTTCATATTTCTGACAGACAATTATTCTAAAACGTAAAATATATATTATAGTATTATTATACATTACAATATTATATTATATAAAGGCTTTTTAAAAACCAAATCTTGTTTTTTCTCAGTAAAACACATTTTGTCTTCAATTATTTTCATATTGCATATTTTTCCTATTTTAATTTTTGTTTTGAAAGTATGGTAAAAACTGGTAAAATGTACCAACAATCACATTTAAAAAATATACACTTTTTGATATACCACTAAAAAAATAAAACAGGTAGCCCATCTGAAATATATATTATAGTATTATTATACATTATAATATTATATTATATATACTATTATATATAATATAATATTATTACATAATATTTATTTCAATTGACAATTTTCCTGGGGGCAGTCATTTTATTTCCACAGCTTGTGATTTAGCTATAAATGCTCTATTTCCTGCTCTCGGTCTCTGGTAAGAGCCGCTGCTAGTTTTCCTGGAGCAAAGCAAATTGAGGACCCACCCATTTCCTCTGGAGAGGAGGGCAAAGATTGCCCTATAGACTTCCACTAACTGCATTTCTGTCAACAAGTCAAAAATCTCAAAGAGCTTCTTTTTCTTTGACGGCTCTTCCACCCAGAGGACGATCTGACGGACGTTGGAGCAGGGTTGGTTCTTCTGACCGATGGTAATGCTCACAGGCTCGCGGGTGAGACGAGCCGCTAGCTGTTCTGTTCCTTTGGGAATGGTGGCTGACGTCAACAGCGTCTGATGCTCTTCAGGGACCTGCTCCAAAATTTCAAGAACCTGTTGCTGGAATCCCATCTTCAGCATGGTATCCGCCTTTGGAGTTTTTAAGAATTATATATATATATATATATATAACACTGATTAAAGTATAAATGATGAATAAATAAACAAACAAAAAATTATAAATAACACAAAAACATAAGAAGTAAATAAAGCAATAAATAAAACAATAAATAAATGAAACAATATAAAGCAATAATAAAACATAATAAATACCTCATCAACCACAACGGCCCTGATGTTATCCAGCCGTACAGCCTTCTGCTTCAGGATCTCAAGGAGGCGTCCTGGAGTGGCTATTACTATCTGGAGAAAGGAAGCGCACTCAAATAAGGTGATGGTTTCTGATAAAAGCTCTTTGCTAACCAACAAGTACCTTGATATTCTGCTTGAGTCGATGCAGCTGAGGGGGTAAAGGCATCCCCCCCACCAGAAGAGCAGTTCTCATGTTGGGCAGACTCATCACCAGCTCTTTCGTCTGCTTCTCTATCTGGATGGCCAGCTCTCTGGTCGGGGTCAGGATGAGACATGTGGGACAAGATGGAGAAGCAGTTCGGCTCTGGAAAATCAAAAATGCACACATATTGATGTGGGAAGTTCAAATATCATGCACAATAAAACAAGGAATAAATTAATTAATTAATCGAACCAATAGAACGAATAATGCTCATTAAATGTATTTCAAAATGTGTGTATTATTTAGTTTTATTTATTTTGCATTCATTACTTTTTTTCATGGTTACATTTATTGTGATGTTATTCCTGTTTAATGGCTATTTTATTCCTGTTTTAAATGTATTTCTGTATGTATAAATATTAAATATTACAAATATAAAAAATATTAATATAATATAATAAATAAATATTACACCGTATTTATTTATTTTTTAAAAACTGTATTTTCCAGAATCTTTTTTAAACAGTAAAGCTCAAATTTGAATTGGTTTTATTTATTTGGACAATTTTCTCATGTCCAAGTTTACATTATAGTCAATACACACAAGAAAAAAACAAATCTGGTAATAAATGACTGAATAAAAAATAGAATTAAATACATTTAAGAATAAAAACAAACAAAAAATGCTAAACATAATTATAATAAATTATAGAAATTGTTCACAAATAATTAATTTTTTTCTATAAAACTGTAAAAAAATAAACTCGTAAAAACAAAAAGACTTAAAAGTGACATATCATGAAAATCTGAATTTTCCAGGTTTTAAGTGCTATAATCAGGTCCACAGTGCATCTACCAACCAAGGAAACGTGAAAAAGATTAACCCAGTAACTTTGTTTTGGTAAGCCTTTTTCTGCAAGTGTCTGAAAAAACAAGCGCGTCTGATTTTGCTCCCTTGGTGACGTGGCAAAGGGATCTTATTATAATATTACCGCCTCTTAATCTGTAAATGTAATACACCCACAGCGCCGTCATTTGATTTCGCAAGCGACAACGGTGTACCAGTTCTAACGCCATGGCGAAAGTTTGAGCAAAACATGCTAACTGTTCTGTCTTTGTCTGCACAGACGAGCACAGAACAATATTTAGAGTCCCAGCCTTAGAGGAGACAACAGAGCAGTGGATTTATTGATTTATTTACTGTATATTGCTGCTGCCACACAGATCTAAAATAAACATGCGATTTATTTCCCAGCTGTTTACCTTCACAGACATAACCGACTGTTTTTTGTAACTATGTGTGTTTTTAACGTAAACTTGTGTGTGAATGAGAACTTAGTTTAGTACTCACATGCTGTGACACCTGCTCTCTGTACGTGTGTCTGTGGGGTATTTTGAGCTGAAACTTGACACATTCTGGGGACACCAGAGACTTATATTACCTATTGTAAAAAGTGGCATAATATGTCACCTTTAAATACAATGTTTGTAGCTAAAAATGAACACTGATATGAAACTTTAATGTGAAATTTCAGCTGTAAGTTGAATGTGAGTCTTATATAACAATTATCCTCATCTGAACTAAGCACTTTTCAGAGGAAGTGCAGTGGAATTATAGACCAGTCAAAAATAGATCTGCTCTTCTGAATTCCTCATACTGACGGCGCACAGGAGAGCTCACACTATCTGGGGCAACAGCTGTTACCTTACAAGAGTTTGGGACTGGATGGACTGCATATAGACACACAGAATCTTGATTTACATATCTAAAATAAATGAATAATATTTTAAAATTACAATCTTTTTTATTGAATTATAAAATGCTGATATTGAGAAAATAATGCCATCCTTCATTTTCGTTATTCAATCAATATATCTACATATCTATACCAATCCATCTGTCTGTCTGTCATGAATGAATTAAACGAATAATGAATAAATTATACAATTTAAAATGTGAGAGTATAACGTCATCCTTCATTTTCTTTAATTAATCAATCTATCTATCTATCTATCTATCTATTATAAAATGCTAAAATGTAAAAAACTTGATCCTTTATTTTCTTTATTCAATCAAAAAGAATAAAAATATAAAATATACAAATTAAGATCTTGAAATATATTTAAAATAAATAAATAATAGTATAACATTTTTAATTTGAGAAAACAATGTCATCCTTCTTTATTCATTCAGTATACACATCTATAACTCTATATCTATTTATCTATCTATATAAAGTTTGAAAAATAAAGTGATCCTTCATATATATATATATATATATTTCTCAACTTTAACATCATTACTGCCATGTAGCACTATTTAAGATATTCAGTACAGTAATCAGTACGTTAATCAGTACACAGCCCAATATTTACCTGGAGAGAATGCATGACCACTGGAAGAAGGAAGGCGACCGTCTTTCCAGAGCCTGTATCTGCAGAGGCAATCACATCTCTGCCATTCAAACCAACAGGCAGCATCTGCATCTGGATGGGAGTGGGAGCCTCATACCCGGCTTTCTTCAGGTTGAGCCTGAGCGCTGTGGGAAAGTTACAGTGTTCAAACTCTATAATGGGTCTACAGACCTCAGTGCCAGCAGTCACTATCGCCAGCTCGGTTTTAACCCTCTCAACCTGCTCCTCAGTCAGTTCAGATATGAACACATCCTCCTTGTAAGAGTAACTGAGCTCAGTGTCTGCTGCACTAGAGCTCTCTGGACCCTCCTGCAGATCTATAGAAAACACCTTCTCTCCGAAATCCAAGCACATTTTAGCCAGATGACTGGCTTTACACTCCAGGCTGCAGACATCGTTGTCTGTTTTATCGCAGATGTATTCTCCATATCGACCGCACATGACACACACGGGCTCTCCTGGCTCTGGCCATCTCTGGTTCTTCTTGAAGGACTTCACTGGTTCCTCCTCTTCATCTGCTTCTTCAGTCTCTATCTGATGGGGTTCCTCCTCTTTTTCTATATGTACAGTCTCATCTGAAGGACAGGTATCAGGTGGAGACGTAGAAACAGTGTCTTCGGATGTCGCTTTGCTTCTCTTGGGGTTCTGCTGCTGCTGCTGGGACTCTGGGGCTCTCTTGAGCTTCAGCGATCTCGGCATAAACATTTTCTGCCCACATTCACCACAACGATATTAACGAAACATAAATAAACGAAAAAAAGGAAAACGTTGGTTATATATCTTTTGGAAACGCTTTAAGTCACATACTTCACCACAGATCTGTGAACGGAATCGTTTCCAAGCGGTCGCGTAAATGTGACGTCATTTAAACGCGACAGTAAAGCTGGGTGTTGTAGTTTTTAGGGATTTTAACTATTTATCAGAAACCAAATGTTGTACATTTTCCTCATCTGTTTAATTCTGTACGTTAATATTATACTTATTATATCAGTTCATAACATGTATTTTTAAAACTATTAATGTTATGATTATATAAAGGATATATTACCCTGATAGCACACACATACATCACAGAGAGGACAATGTGATGTCTGCATTTACATCTGCAAGACTTATTTTTTTAGAGTGTTTGCTCATCTGCAATATGTCTATTGGACGTTTCCTATCAGATGTCGAATAGACGTTTAGAAAATGTCTTTAAGATGTTTATGATTTAGAATGAATGTAAAACTGACATCTTAAAGATCAGATGTTTGTACACAACATGAACATGAAGCGATCTTTAACAGACATCTTACAGACGTACGTGTGCTATCTGGGTATGTATATCTTCATGTATATTTGGCAAGAATTAAAGGTGAGTAAGATTAATTATTCTTTATTGAGACAAACCTGAAATTTAGATTTATGAAATTCACTTGGGAAAATCATTGTGCTTTTTGTATTTGACACGCACTACTGTACTTATATCTGCTTATAATAAATAATAATAATATTTCAACGATATTATTAGCATTATTGTAAGGGGTAGGGGTAGGTTTAGGGTTGGGGTAGGTGTAGACGTTAATAAAACACAATCTAATAGGTAGAAAATTAAATTTATTGTTAGCTTCCGGTTTTTGCTGTTTCCCTTCTAGCCACAACCCAATTTCTGCCAGTTTTGGGTTTGTTGGCGTGTTGGGCGTGTTGGGCGGAGCGCGCATGCGCAGACAGCTCACTCTCACACACACTGCAGCAGCACGGAGACCGCAGGACACTGGATGAATAGAGGGAGAATAACCGTAAATGTCCAGATGGGAATATGTGGGTAGGGCATGGCGACGTCCTAAAGAAGACAAAGACTTTTTAGATAGCGACACCTCCACTGCCTCTTATAACGCGGGACGTGGAGGATCATTGAGGAGAAAAACAGCCGAATTCATCTGGGGTACCAGAATGGATGAAACTCTCTGGGCAGAACCCCACTTTTATTACCGAATCGGCCCGAAATAGATGTGAAAATAAGCCCAACCAAGTGTTTGAACAGCGACCTGACACATGTATGTTACAAAATCTGATCTGTGTGTGACAGAAAAAAGCAAAAGTCCGATTTGATGCGTTGAATTCCTTCGGAGAGATGTCATCGTTGTAAGTGCTGGATGTGACACTGCAGCTGTGAGTATGGGAGATCTGACCGACTCCAGAGATCCGAAAAAGACTTTCATTGTTCCTGCCATCAAGTCTTTTGATCATTATGATATTAATAGAGCTAAAATCAGAGCCAGCCTCAAATGGCTGGTGGCCAAAGCCTTTGGTACAGGTAGGTGGCGTTTCTCTTTCTCCACCATCATCTTTGTCTCTTGATTTGATTTCCGATGTGTTGCATTGAATGCATTTGATATCAAACATATGTAAATGTAAAAATATAGATTTAAATACGAATGCATTTTATAATGTAAAATTTAGAGTGTTAATAAATGCACTTTGCTCATGCAGACCCCTAAAATGAGGATTTTGTATTATATTATGTTACATAATGTTAATATTCATCAATTGCAACATGTCACTTTATAAACAATCTCATGTTAAGTAAGTGCTGTTTATTAATTGTATCCACTAAAATGTTATCCAACACTAACAAAACAAGTACTGCATGGTAGCATACCATAATGGTTACCATCCAATTAATGTGTCTGAATAATTTTATAAACGATACACGCAATATATACACAATGTTTTTGCATTTATATGTCAAAACTAAAACAGAAGGGCACTTTAGCAAATTTTTAAAAAGAGTACTTGTTATTGCAGAAATAACATTCTTTAAAAGAATATGAAGTGTGAAGTGAATGTAATGTATGAGTGTGTTGACAAGCATTTAGAAAACTAAAATATACTTTAATGTCATTTCTGCTGAAGCTTGTTGTATATATCATGTATTTAAATATATTTGCAATTACAATTACAATTTAGTACATTTAAAATATATAAACTTTTAAATGTAATATCAAATAAAACATGACAGTTCAAATTATAATCAAGTACTTACATGTGGTTTAGTATGTTAGTCAACACATCACAATAAATGAACTTCTTTAAAGCATGACAAAAGATTATTAAATATAATGATTTAAATTATATTTTCAAGTAAAACTTTTAATTTGACATGATTGCAAATTGGACGTTTTAAAAGTGGACATTAATGCACTTAAGTGGCCTTTTATTTTAATAATTATATTATCTTCAAGTCCAGTTTTTTTGTTTGTTTGTTTTTTTAAATATAATTTGAAGAATTGAATTACACAACATGTGCTTGTTCAGTACAATTAGGTACACTTCTTTTTCACAAATGGATTGACTAGCAGTGCAAGTTAACATAAGAATATCAGGCAGAATATCAATTAGCAAGAACCAAAGTGTGATATATGAGTGCCAGAGTCCTAATTTCATCTTCACAGCTCACTTTGTATCCTGAATCTGACCTTATGGTGCTCATTAATGTAGTCTCGTATTCATGTTTATCATATTGGTTTTAGCTTGACATCCAGATTTATTCGATAGCTAGTCATTGAGCTGTATGTTTATTTTGACAGCACAAACCCATTGTGATTGGCTAACTGATGACCACCGGCCATCTGGTCTCCTTTAGGTCCTCTCGTCTCATTAAAATGCGCAGTCAGGTCATCAGGCCAATGCGCAACACAAATGACAACTCTTGCTGTCAGAGCGGTTATTGTTTAGCATCTTTGATTTAAAGTGACCTTAAACGCAATTAACAAGACACTGAACGCCAGGGTGAGGATATGGTAATGTTCAGTAGGCTGATTGACAGGCCTTAAGGGTGTTATTGACCCATTTGTTGAATTGTTTTGAGGGTGTAACCCTAGGACAGATGACAGAACAACTGATAAAAGCCTACATTTCTCCATGCAAAAAAGTGATTAAATCAACACATTTCAGATCACGATAGTATTATTTAAAACATAATGTAGCAGTCTTTAGAAATATATAAGTGTGATGCCAGAAAACTAGTTAAAATGAAATACAAGCGGTTGTTTGAATGAAAAGAGAGTGGTCAGCTTAAAGTCCATAAAAGCTTTTCCATTGATCCATTTTGGTCAGTTGGGAAAGATAGAGATAGTTAATTGGTCATTTAATGGCATGCACTCTATTTTCGGTTCATCTCTTCAATGCATTCTTGCTTGATAGCACATTGCTTTTTGAAAACCGACCGAGCATTTATTACTTATTTATTGTGAAAATGAATTCGTGAAATAAACTTCAAAGTGAGGAAAAGATGAACTGCCAGCTCTCATTCAAATAAATAGCGAGAGCTGAAACGTCACCAAACACACTATATAAAAGGCACAAATAAATGTCACATTTATAATAATAGGTTTATGTGAATAATGTGAATTCAAAGTTCATTTAAGTTAAAAAGTTGGTATTAAATGTTTTGTAGCTTAATAAAAATAAATAATACGGATAAAGCTGTATATATAAAAAAAAAATTGATAATTAGCTATTTAGGCCTGGCTTTTATTTGTATTGTAATGGCTATTATTATTATTATTATTATTATTATTATCCCCAGAAAAAAACATGTAATTATTTGAGGCATCAGTATTGGTATTGGTGATACTGGCCTTCATTCATAGTGCTTAGTAAAAATAGAATTAAATAAATATTTAAATATGTAATATGTAAAATATTGTCTTTATGTTGTCTCCATATTCATTTAGAGATTCTATGTGAAAATATGTAGAAATCTGTTGGATTATTTAGTGTGTTTTTTATCATAAACATATCATATATATTTAGCAATTTATTTTTTGTAAGGCAAATCTCATATGCAAAACATTCAAATGTAATTTAAAAAATTGGTTTTATGAAATTTGCAAGACTTTTGATAATATATGTGAACTTGCTGATTTTTGTACTTAAAAATAAAAAATAAAACAGTTTGCATATAATATTTTTTAAAATTACATATTGTAATTAAATGCACCAAAAAAAAAAAAAGTTAAATAAGTAAATAAAATAAATTTTAAAAACTGTTTTTCTACACATATTCAAAAATGCCACGCAAAAACTTCTGTGAATTTTGAAGACGCAAATGAATTGCTTAATCTCATTCACTTTTGAACCACTTCACAGATGAAATCAACTGAAATGTGCATTTTCAGCTGATTTGCAGAAATTAATTACAGAGTGTATTAAAAACATTGGAATTACTTCAGTTTATATCGGCGGCAAAATCATAGTGAATCATCATCATGATATTCGACATATTGTCAGGCTCTAGAAGCACAAAATCTAAACACCTGTGTAGTTCCTGTCTCTCCATCTGTCTTTGATGCGGCTCGTGAGGAGCTCCTGGATACATACGGTCGGCAGGGGAATCGATCAGCCTCCCTATTGTTGCCATGGCAACCGCGGCCTGGCTCGACACAGTCATATTTTTGACTTACATCGTCAACGCCTTGTGGCTCTGATACCATCAGTGCAATGTTTGATCTACTGTTTTATCATATAGACCCGTTTTAAAAGCCTTCGTGAAAGCTGTTAATTGACAATGAAGGTAGCTTGTCATTTTTGCGTATTGTCAACATCTCTAGTAAGACATTCATTCATACAGAATGGTTCAAATCTGTTTTGCCATTACCACAATCAGGTTTAACACAGAACATTGAAAGCATGTACAGGTAATAAGGATACAAGCGTTCTCCCAAACTCTCACACGTCTCCATAAATAACTAAACATCTCGGTTCTCCATAGATACGGTGACCTCATTCGGATCTGTGAAAGCATTTATTCTGTCAACGTGTGAACTCGTGTTAATTATATTTTTGATTTTGTAGCTGTGTGGTAGACACTGTCTCGCTTCCTTTAAAGGGGTCATATGATGCGATTTCAAGTTTTCCTTTCTCTTTGGAGTGTTACAAGTCTGCCACGTGACTCTGTTCCCCTTTCGGGCTTGAACTGATGGTAAAACTAATGACATTATTTACTGTCTTTTGAAAGATGAAGCTCACGATTATGGTAAGGGGCGTTACATTTCCGACGAGTGCTTGCGGTGTTTGGCCAATCACAATGCACTGGGTCAGCTGGCCAATCAGAGCAGACTGCGCTTGTTGGAAGGAGGGACTTTGTAGAAAACGAAGCGTTTGAGAGAGGCGGGGCATAGAGGACCTACAATAATGTACAGTATTTGAAAAATGATGTGTTTTTTGAACATTAAAGCATGTCAACATATTCTGTTACACCAAATACACAAAATAATGATCTTTAAAAAAGCATCATATGACCCCTTTAAGGACTTTCTCCTTTCCTTCATCTGCCCGGGTGAGAGTAAATTACACTTGCACAGAGGATCGGAAAACACCGAGCTTTAGCTATATTTAGCTGTGCTGAAGATGAAAAGTACTTTGATCTTTGAAATTCAGAAAAAAAATAATAAAATCTCACTGACTCAGCTGTCTGCTATGACATAACAGAGGGAAGGTGTCTTGATATGAAAGTAATCAGTCCCACCAGGATTTCACTATATTTTTGTGTTTTTTGGGATCAAATCTCATGGCAGTAATTTCCAGAATTTTGTGGAAAATTAATAATTAGGATACTACAAAAACAAACTACTAAACCAAACAAAAAGCTTGTTTATTTTCATGTCTTACCAAATTCTGACAAATTAAAAAAACAAGATATAGCTACTTTGTCATTTAATTTTATTTTTGTTATTAAAAATAAGAACAAAGAAGCAAATACAGCGAGAATTGAGTTCTTTATCGTTTTTTTTTTCTCATGCATGCATGTTTCATTGTTACACATAAGTAGTACTGTGCTTTTGTAATTATTTTGTGGTTAAATTGTGAATTATGCAAGATTGCAAAAAAACCTGACATTTTGCTGATTCCACAATCACAGAATTGCGAAAACTAGAGGGACTGATTAATATGATGAATCTTATATATTTATGTTTAAATACCAACACTTGTAAGCCGATAATTATTTCTATATTAAGGTCAATAACTGATAAATAGCCGATGTTACAATTCTATGCTATTTTTTCTAAATAAATAAAATTGTCCCCCAATAAGCCGATAATTATTTCTATATTAAGGCCAGTAACCGATAAATTGCCGATATTAAAATTCTATGCAGTTTGTATAAATAAAATTGTCAACAAAAAAAACTGCCTTTTTAAATGCTACAAAATGTGAATTTTGTGTCTTATTTTCTCATTCATGCATGTTTATAACTATTTGCTATTATTCTGTGGTTATATTGCTAATTATACAGGATAGCAAAAAAAAAATTTTTTTTTTTTTGTATTATGTATTTAGATTTAAATACCAACGGTGATAAGCTGACAACAGTTTTTATGTAATGGCCTATAACCGATAAATAGGCGATATTATGATTCTAAAAAAATAAAAAATACTAAAAACTAAAATCAAACTTTAGAAAATGCTAAAGTGAATTTAGGCATCACAACATTATAATGTACAGTATGAAAAATTTATATTAATTACAAAATGGATAACATTAATTGAGGTTCTGTCATCTTGCAGACAGTGTTCCAGAAGACCTGAACGAGCCTTTCTACAGGGACCAGTATGAGCAGGAGCACCTGAAGCCTCCGGTGGTGGGTCTTCTGCTGTCAGCTGAGCTGTACTGCCGAGCAGGGAGTCTGATTTTAAAGAGCGATGCTGTCAAACCTCTGCTGGGTCATGACGCCGTCATTCAGGCTCTGGCTCAGAAGGGCCTGTACGTCACCGACCAGGAGAGACTGGTGACCGAGAGAGACCTGCAGAAGAAACCCATTCAGATGGTGAGAGAACCTGCCCTTTTCACATGTTTCATTTACACGCTGATTGTATTTCACTGACATCTGGAACAGGTGGATCTTGGATATTTTGCATAAATGGCAAAAAACACTATCAGATTTTTTTTACATCCAATTCAGGCCACTTTCGAATGTGGTTAATGTCACTTGTCTGACCAATGCCTTCAGATAAAGCCCATTCTTTAATGGCTCACTAAAACAAACTGTGATTGGTCAATTTACATGTTGGTCAGACAAATCTTTTCTGTCACACCTGATCCTGTATGTTTATTATTCGGCTTTAATTAGAAATACTAGTAGGGATGCATTGATATTAAACATTTTGGCTGATACCAATAAGCCTATGAATTATCAATTGATAAATGACTGCTATTAAAATTAATTCTATGCAATCTTGTCTATAAAAAATGCTACAAATTTAAAATGCTACAAATGAAAATCAATCGTTTTAAATGCTACAAATGAATTTTGGCATCATAACATTAAAGTATTGAGATTTTCTGTTTTTAAAAATTAAGTGTTATTTTTGTATTATTTATATTATATTTATATAGTATTTAATAATGTTGAATTAGCATTTGTGTAATTCATTGTGATTAATTACAGATATCTGTGTGACTATTTTTTTTAAAACGATTGACAGCTCTTATATATATAATATTTTTTTCTTTCAATTTTAATTTTAATTTTAAAAATGAATTTTGGCTTTGTGGTTTTGTCATTTTTATTATTATTATGTTTTAATATTTCCATTTAGCAATAATTTCGGTTTTAGCATTAATAATTTACAAGTTTTTTTTTTCAGTTTAAGTGTTTAATCTAATATTTATGTTTCATTTTTATTTATTTATTTTATTTACAGTTTATTTTATTTCAGCATTATTTACAAAAACAAAAAATATTTTTAATAATTTTAGTTACCGATAACAACACTGCTTTAAAGGGGTCATATGATGCGAATTCAAGTTTTCCTTTCTCTTTGGAGTGTTACAAGCTGATTGTGCATAGATAAGATCCCTGAAGTTGCAAAGACTAAAGTCTCAAATCCAAAGAGATATTCTTTATCAAAGTTAAGACTCTGCCACGCCCCCCTAAAACGGCTCGTTCTAACACGCCCCCACATTTCTACCTCACTATGTGGAAATATTTACATAATGCTGGCCAATCAGAGCAGACTGCATTTGTCGGAAGGAGGGACTTTGTAGAAAAACGAAGCTTTTGAGAGAGGCGGGGCATATAGGACCTACAATAATGTACAGTATTTGAAAAATAATGTGTTTTTTGAACATTAAAGCATGTCAACATATTCTGTTACACCAAATACACAAAATAATGATCTTTAAAAAAGCATCATATGACCCCTTTAAGTGAGCGATAGATGATGACAAAGCTAATCTAAATGCAAAAATAGAAGAAATATGCATGAACAATTAAATTAATCAATTAAATATCAACCAATATGCTGCAGATATATCCTGTACCCCTAGGAATACATCAGGATTGGATAGACATCTTATAAATCTCTCTCTGTTTTAAGTCCTTTATCTTGTCAGTTTTCACATTGTTTAATTGAAGATGTATTTCAGGCTCATAGCATCTGCTTTAAAGATATAAAGAGTTCTGTTGTTGTGTGAGCAACTTCCTGTTGATGTTTAATTACCGTGCCGCTGTTTGCTGTGCCTCTGGCTTCCTCATCCTCAACCGAACACATATCATCACAAACGATCTCTGCGCTGCGTGAATAACCATTTTGCATAGTGCCAATAATGATACTAGTAACTATATTCTGTGCTCCCCTTGACAAACTGATTATTTTTATTATGTTAAATGATTACGTCGCTCTGCTGGTTGTTATTTCTCTACAATTTAAAGTCCCCAAGCTATTGTATCTGCATGTAGCCGACTGCATAGCTGCACTCATTGATCCAGGCCTTTACGGCTTGATCTCTACAAACCAATGAATGTTTCAGCACCTCAAACTCAGAGCCCACAAATCCGCATTAGCGTCAGAAAGCCGTCCATCTGTCTGCTCGGCTGCAGTAAGCTGCCTGACTACAAGATCTGTCAGTCTTCTCATGCTCTACTTTAACCTGTTTAGCCTGGTTAAAGTAGAAAGTAAAAAAGTAAAAAAGGGAGCGAGTTTTTCGGCTTTGTGGCTTTTCCCGTTTTGGGAAAATACTACATTATAAACTGAGTGTAAAGGTTTGGGGAAGTCGTGGCCTAATGGTTAGAGAGTCGGACTCGTAACCCAAAGGTTGCGAGTTCGAGTCTCGTACCGGCAGGGATTGTCGGTGGGGGGAGTGAATGTACAGCGCTCTCTCCCACCTTCAATACCACGACTGAGGTGCCCTTGAGCAAGGCACCGAACCCCCAACTGCTCCCCGGGCGCCGCAGCATAAATGGCTGCCCACTGCTCCGGGTGTCTGTTCACGGTGTGTGTGTGTTCACTGCTGTGTGTGTGCACTTTGGATGGGATAAATGCAGAGCACTAACACATGTCACGTCACTTCACTTTGTTTTATTCTTCCACTGGGTCGTTATTGACAGATTTGGACTCATTGAATGCCGACGGAATCTAGGTTGAATTTACAGCTTTTTAACTAATAATTAACTAATAATTAACTAATTAGTTATTTTAACTAATAACCTGAAGTTAAACCCTATGTTGGAGCTTTGGCACGGCGATTGGTGCTGATGCAGGTGACATGGGTTTGAGTCTGGCTTCTGAACTTTCTAAATAAAACACCTCTCTACAAACCATTAGTGAAAATTTTGGATTGCACTGGTCTAGTGTTTTTAAATTATCGGTATGGGTCTGCCAATTCTGAAATGTAATCTAAAATCTTTTTTATATTTTATGTTTTGTATGTAGTAAACAGTTGGCCATCTTCTTTACTTCACTATATTGTTATTAATTGATTTCACTGGTAGTATGAAAAAGTTGACTGGAGTGATAGAAGAAGACAGTTAATGGTAATGTTCGCTAAACAGTAGCATTTCTTATGGTAGTAATGAGAATGTGACTTGAAAAGTATGAAAGGTACTATTTTTATTTATTAACTTAATTATAATTTTTTTTTAAATTATTCTCAATTTTAGTGATGCACCAAAATGAATTTTCACCAAAACACACTGAAACGAAATTAAAGTTTTGTTTAATGTGCTTTAGCAAACTTAAAAGTGATTTTTATTTATTTACTTAAATTATTCAAACATTTTAAATTATTAGTGAAGCACCAAACATTTTATTTTTATTTTTATTTTTTGTTTTTTTTGTTTAACAAAACCAAAATTAAACTTTGTGTTTAATGTGACTTTGCGCTTAAAAAACTTGAAAAAACTTAAAAGGTACTAATTTTACTTATTCGTTTTTAGTATTTTAGAAATGTAAAATTATTATTATTATACTGTAAGTGAAGGGCCAAAATGTTTTTTTTTTCTTTTTTTTTTACAGAAATGCTGAATCCGAAATGAAAGTTTTAATTTAGCCAAGAACCAAAAAGAGAGTTTTGGTAATTAAATTTGGGTAATTGGGTAGTTGAACTAAGGTGATAAATTAAACCAGTAATAAGTAGTAAGTTCTTTGAGAGGTGACTTGTTGCTGACATTTCAGCCAAACAAATTCTACATACTTCTACTCTAACATCATTTTTGGTCACTGTGAAGTGCGTCCACACTGCTGACATCTTTACTGTTGTACTTCATCCATGTTGTGTGCACAAAATGAACACTGACACATTCAAAAAGCATAATCAGTGAAACACTAATTATTCAAAAAAAAAAATTTATGTTTCGGACAAATACTTTCAGTTTCTGTTCATCACTGTTGTTGTTGTTGCATATATTTGCATACATTTAGCCTACTGGCAGTTATAATTACAGTAGTTACTGGTTATCGATATGCACCAAGAACTTTTTAATATCGATCCATCTGTATTAAAAATGCTACATTTAGAGGCCGTCTACTTGGCTTATCTTCTGTTCTTTAGGGATGAATTTGATGGGATAGTGGTTTGGTTGTGATGACAGTGTCCTGCTGTTTTGGAGAAACTTCCTCACACATTAATAAGGTTTGACTGCACCAATTGAACGGCGCTTTACCATCAATAATTCAGCCGGGCTTCTATTTTGGATGTGTGAGAGGCAAAACCTGAGAGTTTCGTGAGGTGATCAGTGTTGCATCTGCTTGTGCATTGAAATGTTCTTGACAGTAAAGGGCTTTATCATACACTTTTTTAAAATCTAAATCTGCTTATAAGGGTTCAAAACAGTCATAATTTATTTTTACATGACCTTTTTTAGGGATGCACCGATACCACTTTTTCCAGTACTCGCCCGATACCGATACTTTTATTTTTGGTACTTGCCGATACCAAGTACCGATACCAATATTTTCATTGCATTTGTAAATTTTTAAAATATTGGGTACAGAAACCATTCTTTGTCTGAATATGGCACTTATCACATGCTGTGTGGTATCGGCGTTTGGTATCGGGGCATTTTAACGAGTACGAGTACAGGAGCTCAGTATCAGGCCCAATACCAATACCAGTATCGGTATCGGTGCATCCCTAACCTTTTTTTTCATTTTCCCTCTGATCTTTATAATTGAACCGCATTTCTGCTACTGTACCTTTAAGACTACTACATTTAATGTATGTAAATAACCTCTCTTGTGATTGGACGGTGATATGTTGATGTGTTTGTTGCTCGGACATCATTACATTGACATTCTTAGTTTGCGTAAATGGGTTGGATGGACTGCGGAAGTTTTGGAAATGTAACTTTAATTCAAATTCAGACGTTTAAGGAAAATCGTATATGGAAAAATGTCTTTATTGCTTTATCATCTCTCTCTCTCTCTCCCTCTCTCTCCTGAAGAATCGTATTTGCTCCTGCAGCTGCCGGCCACCCACACACAACCCTGCATTCATTCTACATTATAGACTCACTCAGAAATACATACATATGAACATATACGCAGC